TTTTTTTATTTTTAAGCATGATAATCAAGTTACGAAACCGTTAGTGCTAACCTTTCCGTCAAGGGTCATTAACGTTTAACGCTCCAAGGAAAAGCAAGACTGGGGTTGCGTACTCTGACATCTCTGGTTAGTTTGAACAGCTTAATGTAATATTTTGGGTGAATTTGAGTGAAATTAGAAATATCATTGAGCAGACAAATGTGGACTGCGTCAACATGAATAGAATATAAAAGCTAAACGGCTGCAGTACAACTATTTTCATCCGTCCTCATCTGGTGAGGTCGACAAACGAATCTCTTCTACATGTACTTGCATTCGAAACGAAGATCCCCCGACAATGTTATCTCAGGTGATTCATCGAAACCAAGTTTCTCTTCGTATCCTATAGCTGTCTATACCTCTTCATTTTCTCTTCTAGCTATGATCACATAAAAGAGGTAATGTAGATCCGGATGGTCTTCTAGACCTGGTGTTAACATGAGACTTCAGCAAGAATGAGCTCATGTCTGATGATGTTCATGAGATGATAGAAAAAAATCTCAGTCCGTTTTCACCCGAAGCCAAGGAGACTGTCTCGTGAGGCAAACCTACCAATTTCTTCTTCGTGCACTTACATACGAAATGAAAGCCTCTCCAACATTGTTCTTTGAGGCGATTCATCGAAACCCAATCACCCTTGGTATCTTTAACAAACTAACCATTTTAACTCGTTATAAGAATTTACTCCCAGATCTGATAGTGCAATGATTGATGATGAGGAGGAGGAAGCCTGCATCCGAATGGGCGTCTTAGGAGCTGCGATCTTGAGCAGTCCGAGTGTGTTCTGCCGGCGTCTTTCGATGGGATCGAGCTGCGCCAGTCTTTTCATCACATGCATTCACTCTAACTCGAAATGGGCTCCGCAATGGAACATCGAAAATCAGTTATTATTTGCACTTTATCCTAAACTTGAAATATTAACTCTGCTCTATTTCACTTTCAGTCGGCAGAGCCGTCGGTCGACTCAACAGAAGGTGAGCTATTCCAAACGGCTAAATGATCATTTTGGCTATTATGATGCAAATGTTTGACAGTGTAGAAAACATGTTCAAGCTACTTTCTCTTTGGATACTAAACACACACACACACATACACATACACACACACACACAAATGGTGTGTGTCGTATTGAGTCGCGAGGAGTGAAGAATGAGTTGTCAGTTTTCCCTTAAACTCTGACGTCTCCTACAATGTACAGTGGTACTGCACTCGCTGCTAAGGACGTCTGTCTCTGAGGCTGGCAGATCCATGCTTGGATGGCCAAGAAGAAGTGATGATGAGGCCACTCTTGAGAGAAGGAGGAGAACACTCTGTGGCATGGGCTAGCATGGATCGTTTCAAGCATGATCTGTCCAACTATCGGCGCTTTGCATCCTCGAGCCACGAGCATTTTACCTATTCGCAAAGTTTGGCCAGTTTTAATGCAAAATATTAAAAAATTATTGTCAAGTAAGCGTCAAAACTAGCGCGACCACGACAACTCGTGTTGAAAGTGAGCGAGGATAGACGATGCCTCTTTGTGTGCTGTCTGGCAGGACCGGAAGATATAAGAACTGTATGCGAAGAAAAGTTGCGTTTTAAGCAATCTCTTCTTTCCTACTTGTTGAACTTACTTCCATTTCGAGTGAAAGTATTGGGTGTGTTATCTGTACATTTAGTTCACTCTTTCTCTCTCGCTTTGAGACCAAAAACAAAAAAACGCTCATCAACAAAACCAGACGAGTGTCCGAATTTGCGCAATCGGAATGATGGTTATAACATGTTTGTAGAAAGAGGGAGATAGGGGTCATCAAACCTCGATGGCTAAAAACATAGATTCCTTTTTGCTGTTCTAATTACTTTGAGACATCACAGACACAAACGAGCACCCACACATACAGACACAGACACACTCACATGCATAGAAGTTGACATGTGACCAAATCATTTTATACTTGATCAAAGAGGTCAAATGTAGAGTATTTATACCACCTTTTAGGGACTTATTGGTGGTTTTTTTTGACCAGTTAGCTTGAATTTTGTTGTCACGATGATACCTTGCTCTGATGATGTGCGTCATATGACAGACGAAAGCTCAGCACCTTTTTCTGTAATCGAAGAAGATTTCCTCGGAAACAGCTGGTCAAGAGGAATCCGTCGCTGGTCGTCTTCTCGTGGAACCGACCTTCGAATCTCTTCACCGCACACTTTCACTCGAAATGGAAGTAGGCTCAACCACAAAAACTGTCTGCAGCCCATTTCGTGGAGTGTGATGAAGGGATGGCAGTTGCATCTCCCCGCAACTGACGTACACAAAGCCTTGCTTCCCAACTGGACTCGACTGCACTTTCGAGCTCGCCTCAACTCGTCTCACAACCGCCCCAGTGGCACTCGAACCCGGTCTGTTGCGGTGCAGCAAACACACACTCGACATGTTGACCACTGCCACGATCACATTTCGCTAATGGGAATGTCGATGGAGCAAAGAGAGGGATTTTCTGTCACGACCGACTGCATTACTTATATTCAGTTTGAGTAGGTAGAGAGTAAATGAGCAATTCCTTCGAAACATGAGGACTACTCATTCGAATGTGAGACAACTCAACTACTCGTCCTTGCATTCTGCTCTGGGCTTGACTTGGATACGTTCTAGATTTGTTATGGGAAAAGTCATGTTTTAAGCTGTTTCTACCAACAATAAATTGAATATACAAACAAAATACTCTGAGGTGCATAATTACACATTTGCAAATAGATTTTGAGAAACCCCACTTCTGATTATTGTCTTTATGAAACAAACTGGAAATGTTGCCTGGCATTATTGCGTCTTTATGTTAATTTTGTAATTGAATATTTACACTTTTATTATGAACTAACAAAGCTGAGAAATTTCTTCTTTGCATGTTTTTTCTACAGGTGATGCGGATGCTTCTGTGGCCGAAATGAAAGTAAGTCGCCTCATTAGCCTGTACTTTTGACTAATTTTGGGGGCATTTCAAGCTCATTTTAATTTACAATTGTTATTTTATTCTTTCTAATTTGGCTGACTACACTCAACTCTTGCCAGGTAAAGTTGTTGTAGAGACTTACAATTCGTATCAAAATGCATCTGATGAAGGCATTTGTAGATTGAGCTCATCAGAAGACGACATTTCCTTCGCGCCGTTCTGCAGTCATCTTTGGCTTTAATTTCATCTTCAGATTGACGCAATCCAGCAGACATCCTTCCTCGTTTCAGGTAAATTCGGGCCGGACCTCTGTCAACCGTATGACGAGCATCCTTGAAACTGGAACTCTGTGTTGCAAAAGCTTCGAGTTAACATCAAGTCAAGAAGACTGTCCGCCTCTATTATACATGTTATATATACTTGTAACTAGAAATCTACATTGTATGGA